TATCGATTCGATATCGTTACGATATTATTGCGATATCGAATCGATATCGTTAGAATTTTAAGGGTTTCTGTAAAGTTATCATGGCCTACAACCTCTCCCCAGAAAAAATCATATTGGATTGAGAATAGGCTGATAATGTCCGTAAAAATGGGAACAAGCTTCATATGATTGAGTTTAAATTCAATAAGCGCGACGTTCAAGCTTAGTGTGTACGTCATGAAAATCAATCTGAGAGGAAAGGATTATATCTTGTTATATTAAAGGATTCAGCTAATAAGAGGTTGGAGCTTAAAGCACGTCTGGTCCCACTAGAAAAGAAAAAGCAACATCTTGGAAATATAATAAGTTCAGCTAAAGAAAGTGGTAAAATGATACCAGAAAGGTTAAATTTAGAATATTCATCTGTATGCTTCAATTATGATTATTGGGATTCAAAGTAAAAAGCTTTGAAGGTATACATGAACACTTTTTATGGGGAAGCTAGAAACTCGCTATCTCCAATCTTTCTTCGTGAATTAGCCTGTGAAACTACTACAGCAGGAAAATACAACCTTAATCTTGTTGCCGAATTCGTATCAAAAAAGGGTTTAGGATAAAATATGGGAATACTGATTCTTTATATCTCACCTGTCCAGATAGGTATTATGAGAAATGCGATGAAGTCTTCTCTAGAAAAGAACTTTCCAAAGAAGCGTACTGGACTGAAATGGTCAAAATTACTATGGATGTGATGAAAAAGTTACATGATCAAGTAAACGCTAATCTTAGAATAAAAAGTAGGACATCTTATTTAAATATGGCATATGAAGAGGTATTATTTCCCGTCTGCTTGACTGGTAAAAAGAAATACTTTGGGGTTGGACATGAAGATGTAATAAACTTTAAATCGAAAAATCTTTTCATGAAAGGGATAGATACTGTAAAGAAAGATAAATCCCAGCTTCTCAAATTCATCAAAGAGAAGATAATGAGAGAGGCTATGGATATAAATAATACGCACCTAATTCACATAATTGTTGAAGATACTCTTAGAGAAACAGGAAACAAGAAATGGGATTTCAATGAATTTATTGTGATGGGAACATGGAGGCCTAAGAAAAAAATCTCTGCAACAATCGCTTTATGAAACGTATGAGAGAGAGAAATCAGAGGATTCCCGATCCTGGTGAACAGTTTAGCTATGTCATTATGAAGGATCCCAATCTTCGTGATGAGAAAGGCAGGTTAATACTGTATAGAGTTAGGGATTATATGGAGTATCCATCGAACATAGCAAAAGAGCAAAACATGAAAATAGATATTAATTATTATTTAGGCATTACGTTGTAATATGCGCATGCTTTATCAATGAAGACGATAGCTATCAACTACCCCCATCACATAAAATAATGCAGATCAAGGATTCAGATGTGAGAGAAAAGAAGATCGATAAACACTTCCAGGACGAGGCCGTAAGACAGCTTAAAAAATATTTCTAAGTACTCTTAGCGGGATGTGGCAATTTCAGCTAAGAAAACTTAGCCGTTAAGGTGTTTCGCATAATATTATTACATATTTTTTCTCGTGTAATAATACCAGCTAACTTCAATTCCTATCTTCGAACTTCTGACCTAGGATGATCACTCAAACTTCTGGCTTCCGATCATATAGCCCGACCTTAGAAATGCCTGAAGATGATAAAAAATAGTTACAGTTAGGAGAATACTCAGTATTACTTTCTTTCAGCTTATCGCTTCATGAATTCCAAATTTTTTTTCCAACAATCCATATAATTGCAAGAAGTAGTAAAGTAAGTATGATATATATTAATATCGATGATATTAAGGAGTTCGTAATAATAGGAGTAGTTGCTGGTAAAGAGACCACTTCTGCATCACCCACAGAAATTGTCTGGAATGTAGGAGAATTAAGAGCGGAAGGTTGTAATAGATTATTCATAGGCGGAAGTGGAATATCTACTTCATTATGCGAAGCGTCTCTTGGCTCTTTTTTTGAGATCATCTCTCAGAGACGAGAATTTTCCTCCATTAAATTTGATCATACTGAATACAAGGAGTCTAACACCATTTGTATATGCTATCTGATAATTCTTTTCCTTTTTCAATACATTCCATTTCATAATTTTTTGAATTTAGATTCTCCTTTACCCGTTCTAATTCAAGCCTAAGAGAATCAATTTCAGATGAGTCTATTTGGGCTAGCTCCTCTAGCACTCCTCCTATTATATGCGAATCACATTCTAGTTCTAGATCTAGTAACTTACCTTTCAATTCAACTACCTTAGCTTCAAGAGAAAGGATCTTGATCTTGTCAGCAGACGAAGCTTTCTGCGCCAAAGTTACCTCTCTTTTTAGTGTTTTAATATTTGATTTGAGAGATTTGATTTCAGTAGTATATTTGACTTCAAGCTCAGTATGAAACATCCATTCATAAGTAATCTAGGATATAAGCTTAGTATTTGCACTATTCAGCTGGCTAACCTTATTTCTGATATCAGTATAGAATCGCTAGAACTCCTTTTTTCGTCATGAATACTTATCTACTAACTTTTCGTTAAGATCATTGATTTCTGCTTTAGATTTAAAGGCAGAATATAATTCTTCTTCGAGCTTTTGCTCATATGCATTACCTAGCATACGACCATTATTATTGATATCTCTCAATGTATATATATTGGTCATAGCTTTTTTTTGGTTTAGTTGCTAGTATATTAAAAAATATGCGATTGAAAATTGACTTAAATATTCGAACGATGGTCTGAACTGTAAGAAAACTATGTCATTTCCCGCTAAAAACTATTTTTATAGGATAGAAGATCCCATAGTATACATAGCATCGATACTCCTGATACTTCCAATACTCCTGATACTTCTGATAATTCTGATACTTCATGTAGTATTAATTTTTTATACACATTTTTTACTAATACTACAAATAGTCTTCATACTATCCATAGAATTAATCCTTCTGATACTCCGCATAATACTGGTTCTCTGCATAGTTTTGATACTATATATAGTTCACATAGTATTAATATTTTGCGTACATTTTTTTATTAATAGTATGAAAATCTGATCGACTGCTAATATGATCAACCCCCTACCTAGAAGATATATGCGCTCTGATGCTACAAAATTATCTTCTGCAGATTACAAAGATATCATGCAATACCAAGATATGAAATCTAAGCCTCTGGATCAATTAAGAAAGAGATTCTATGTATCAACTTCTCGTTTATATCAGATTTGAAGAGGACAGGAAGTAGGAAGGGTTGAATGGAACTTTTCAGCTGTCCCACTTTCTTATCCAAGTACAAATGTTATAGATAGACAGGATATATCTGAAACCCCATTGGAGTGTAACATCATTACTGAAAGTAAGGAAAAAAAGACTGGAGGAAAGAAAACCAAGTCTAAATCTGTTTGCATCTCTGAGTCGCCTGTTATTCAGATTAAGCTGACCCCAGAAAGCTCTGAAGGCTTAAAAGGTGAAGAATTACATGTATTTTATAAGAATGAGGCTAAGAGAAATGAAAAATTAAAGCAGATATATTCTGTTTACTAGCTATTACCTAATTATTTTTACTGTTTGCTAGAGTAAACTATTTGTAATCTTTCACATAAATCATTGAGTTCTGCTTTAGACTTGAGAGTAATATATAAGTTTTTTTCGAGTTTCTTATAACTCACTTTTTTTTTAAAATATTATCATCCTCACTTAAGTCCTGTAAGTCTTGCAAAATTCTATCTAAAGTTAAGGAAGCATTGCATTCAGTGGTAATATTCACGCAATTTACCTCAAGCTTATTCTTGACCTTATGCATATTGATTGGAATAAAAAATTCCTTACTATTATACTTTAGTCTCAACTCCTGCTTTGATGCAAGCAGATCATAATTATATTTATCAAGAAGCGTATTAGGTAAGATTAGCATTGGCTTATGGTATTTAACTACAGCAAAATCAGCTTATATAGTACATCCAGATGTAAAATTTACTGGGACATTTCTAACAATTCTGAGGGATTCTGTGAGAGTAGTAGCAATGCCTCTAAGATCATGTTTTTCATTTGTATCAATTTCTAGCTTTTATCATTTAGAGATATCCTGAGACATGATCGGAAAGTTAGCGTCAGGATCAATCACAGCACCTGGGATTACTAAGCGTTTGATTTTACATTTTACCATTGCAATATTTGTAGCAGATTCTTTTCTTTGAACAAAGTCAATTTCCATTGGATCCTCCAAATATTCTTCCTCCTCTAGGTCTGATAAAATGTCTTTGGTAATTAAAGCCTTATCACTCTGAAACTCTGTCTTATCCTGAATAGAAGGTACTCGTTTTGGTGTATTAGATTTATTGGAATCAGAAACAGAATCTTGAGAAATCAATGCAGAAAAAATTAATTAAAGTTCACTTTAGAGAATTTTATGAATAGTTTCTTCCAGAGTGCTTCGTTTAGCCTTACCAGATCTATTTGTTGGCTTCTCAGAATCTACTTTATCAACCTGTTCAGCAGATTTAGTCCAAAGTGTTATACTATTGGACTTGTTTTATTCTTAGAGCGTTTCTTAGATGGAAATTTCTTGGAACTAGATTTCTTAGAGCTTGACTTCCGCTTTACTTTTTTTTTATTTTAGCCATATTAACATTAAGCTCACCTTCA